GTCTGGCCTTCGACTCGAAGGCAACCTTTCCGTCGATCTGTACGTGCTGGCCTTTTAAAGCGTTGGGGGCTTTTAAAGTGTTGGGCGCATTGCGCGCGCTCTACCTGGGCGTGCACTGTCTCATCCAGATCGGTGTTCATCTCTTTGAGGGATTTGAGGCGCGTCTGGAGTGCGCCAAGGTTGCCCATTGAGTGGAATATGGTTCGCGTTTGCGTTCGGCCCGCTGCTCAGGGCTCTGGGGGGAATTCATCTTCGTTTTCCTGTTGTCCCGTCGGCACTCGCAGATGATTTGTCTATCATGGCATGCGACATCTTTTGCTCTCTTCCTGGAACCCTGGCGCTTTCCAAGCTTTATGGCCCCTGCTCTGATCTAGTTTTGAATTATAAAAAATGCAAGCTTTTGTTATTCAGAAACCCTGGGGAGGAGGAGGTGGCGAGTCGGTTCCATGAAATCGGAGCCGACGTTTCAGAATTTGAAGTCACGGATGTGCTCGCGACGTTAGGCGTTCCTGTCGGGCGAGGTGCACGTGCGCATGCTTGGGGGATGGCCAGCAGCAGCGTCCGCGCTCGGGCAAATGAAGTCAAAGCTCTGGGTCTGGGTCTGACCGAATCGGTTATTGCATGCAATCGCCACTGCGTTCCCCTCCCCTCCCACACCGCCCAATGTCATGTAGTCACCAAGCTTGCCCTGAGGAGTGAAAAGGAAAGTCGCCAACTGCTCACTCGTGCCCCGCGACATTCGTTCCCGCCTCAGGCTCCTTCTAGACTCCAGGAACTTGGCTGCCCCATGGAGTGCAAGTGTTTGAAGTTCATCGCGGGGGCCTCGATGCTGCGCGCGGCCATCTGCTCCGACGCGTTCATGAGATTGAGAGAACGCTTCCAGATAGCGATTGATAGTGAAGTTGCCAACATGACGTGGAAGAGGAATGGGTACCTGCATGATTCTATCTTCTACAGCATGTACTGTATGTATGAATGGTTCTGCGCGATCAAGAATATTGATGAGTTTCCGCATTCTAAAGTCCAACTGGCCAGATATAAAATACTCAAGACCTGTGGAGGGAATGATCAATATATTATTGGTAAGGTGATTGCTCCCCGTCTGTTGAAATTGCTCGGTCCCCTCCCTCCTGGTGCCGCCGACCTCGCCGTCATCCGTATCGGTATTGTGGAATCCCGCTAGTTCCCCTCGTTCATAATCGTCAGTGTTCTCAAATCCATCTTCAACTCGTGGAGTACTACCCGTCGCTACCGACAGAAACTTGGACCCTGTGTGTTTGGATGTGGCGCCCGTGATTCGGATTGCATGGAACATTATATGATATGTCCAATATTGACTGACAAAGTGAGGCATCACCTTCCTTATCTACCCCTGAGCTGGGGCACGGTTGCACATAATGTAATTGTCCCATAGTTTTTTTGACTTAGTTTCTGTCCTCCCTGGTGAGGGTACACACGTGCCCCCACCTTCGGCCGCCCTCCTCTCCCATGCTGTTGCTATCGATGCTGTACATTTTGTCTTTTGTGCGCTCAGGTGTAACCCTGGCACTCCCCTTAGGTCCTTGGAGCTGCTGCTGGCCCGCCTCAGATGCTCTGCAAGGAGATCGAGGCTCGTCCGTGCTCTCTGCAAGTAGGTTTCTTGTTCGTTTCGTCGTGTGCGTTCCCCTTCTTCGCCCCTTCTTCCTGCTTCGGGGTCCCCCTTGGCTCTGTGGGTTCAGGTCTCTGGGCGCCGCGCTGGGGCCTCATAGGAGCCGGCGCGGTGTAGGCGATGAAGACGTTGTCTCCCCAGGGGTGCCACTCCGTCTCCTCCTGGGCATGGTCCCAATGCGGGTTGATTCCAACATCGTTGACGACTCTTGGGTTCACACTGGTACCCCTCCTCCTCCTCCTCGTCCTCCTCCTCCTCCTCCTCCTCCTCCTGCTACGCATCCTCCTCCCTCCCTGCCTCCCTCCCTGCCTCCCTCCTCCTCCTCGTCCTCCTCCTCCTCCTCCTCAAGAGGCAGTTTTTTATATGTCTGGCGATGACGGGCGTGACTAGGGGTGGAGGGGTTGGAGGCGGGAAGGGGCCAGTCACGTGACGATTCGCGCCAGCCAGCGTCGTTTGGGAACGTTTCGTATTGGCAAATGCACACGCGCGCACGCACGGCGCCGATGCGAAACGCGACGTGACAAGGGGGGGAAAAGGGGGGGGGCAGGGCCGGCCATGTGCGTGATCGCGAACTGTAACGATTCAGCGTGGACATCCCCAGATGTGCATCTCAAACTTCTTGCCGCGTTTCGCCGAGGAGCTCTGTCTGTGAGGGCATAGGCTTCCATCGCAAGCTTAAGGCGAGAGGGGAAGGCCTTCCTTCTCCAGGCCTCTCCTCCCTATCCGCTCAATTGCAGTCAAGACGCTGCAACAAGGACCGCTTTGGGCTCGGCCGAGAAGAGGGAGGAGGAGGAGGAGGAGGCGGAAGAGGAAGAGGAGCAGGAGGAGGAGGAGGAGGAAGAGGAAGAGGAGCAGGAGGAGGTTCAGGGGCCAGGCGCAGGGCCAGGAGTTCGGCCCTCGGCACGCTTTGGCAATGACGCGTCGGAGGCGCAGCCATCCTCGCGTCCAGGCGGAAGTCTTTTTCTTCCGCCCTCGTGGGCCGTCCCGACAGCTGTTCCAAGGCGCCTCCCTCTGGGATCGTCGGAGTGCCTCCCTCCCGACCCGTCCCCACACACAATCAACCGACCTTCCATCCTATGATCAGACAGGCAGCCCTCGCCAAAATAGAGGACAGTATATTTCAGCTTGCCCTCATCACAACTCGGGCATGTCAAGCCCTGGGCATGGGTCCCGCGGAGCCATAAGGCCGGCTGGCTTCCGTGGCCCGCGAGGGCCTGAGGGACCAAGAAATTCGAGCGCTTCAATGCAGAATGCTCTGCAAACTTATCTTCAGGGCAACGCCAAATGCGATGCAGTAGGGACCGGCTCGAGGCGGCAACGCGGGTAGAGCTCCTCGACCAAGTACCGTCTCTTTCGATGTCGGCACCGTGCCCGCTGGTCTCCTCTCACCACACCAAGGTTCAGCGACCACTCTGTCCACTGTTGCCGACGTGCCATGCGCCGAAGCTCGCTTCGTAGCGGCTGCAGGTCCGCGCCACCTGCCGGGTCATCGCCAAGCTCATGACCTGCGGATCCGCCTTGAGGTCATGCAGGAACACCTGGTGGTCTATGGAATCGCCGAAGTGCTCGCTGTCCTTCTCCACCAGATGCCGCTCGGTGTGGGCCCCCTGCTCGCGCTCGGGCCGCGTCCAGACGGCAGCAGTGCCAGCAGTGTGGCATGCAGCGTGCCGTTTGGGCCTCGGTCCCTCGCCGGGCGCTTGCTGGGGCCGGCTGCAATGAAAGCCTGGCGCGCACCGCCCCGCGCCTTCTTGATCCTCGCGTGGAGTTCGGGGGCCGTCTCCCAGAGCGTGAGCCAGGCGTCCGCGAGCCCCAGCTTGAGCTTGACACCAGGGTCGTCGGCCCGCGTGGCAGCGAGGACCGTGGTGAGGCAGCTGCCGCCCCTGGCTGCCCTTCGCTGCTTGCCTGCGTATCACTGGCACCGATCCGGAAGGCGCCAGCCCCAGGAGCTGACGGGCATAGGAGCACTGTGGGCTGGCTTCAGTCGCCCACAGCCCACGCGCCTCCGTCATCAGCGCCGCCGCCCTGCGCAGCCTGGCGATCTTGCCCGACCGCTTCTTGGCCGCCACCAGGAGCGGGCGCTACTTCCGCACGCAGCGGCGTTGTCCAGCAGCAAAGTCGCTTCCCAGGTCCACTGCATGGTGGACCGCTTGGAGGGACAGCTTCTCGCACTTTATGTCCTGCTTGAGCGGCTTTCCGAGCTCCACGTCCGAGCTGAGCAGCTTGGTCTTCTGACCAGACCGAGCTCGTCCACGAAGCACTCCACGAAGACCTTGACCACCGCAGGCAGGGAGGTTATCACGATCGCCTTCTTGGAGCCCTCGCAGCGCGCCGTCGTGTCGTCCTCGAAGGTCCAGAGTCTTGCCGTCGGGTCCATCACGTATGTTTTGGCCAGCACCCACTTGGTTGATGTAGGCCGTCGCAAGGCTGACACCCCTAGCCGATCCTGCCACGACGACCTCGTGGGGTGTACCATCTCACTCACTACGACGTTCCTGTACTGGAGTATGCGCGCGCCTTGCTCCAAGCCTTGGTCAGAAGCCGAGGGCCTCGCTGTTGCTGATGATGTTCATCCTCTTCTGGCGCCCCTCCTGCGGCAGGTTCGCGCCCCGCATGTCGATGCCCTGCGCCTTCTTCGCCCCCACCGTGGCAAACGCCCCGCTGAGCTCTGCCTCGGTGAGTGGGGAGCAGTCTTAAGTCGGGCATGTCCCTCTGTAGGAGGATTATTCAAATATTGTCAACAGATAGTATGGGACGATCTTTCGATTATTTTTGACTGTTTTTGACTATTTTCGAGTTTTACTTGTTGCTTATGTTTGATGGTTCTTACAACTAGGGGGTCGCCCTCCTCGCGGGCCGCCCTCAGCGTGCGCTTGAGCTGTTCGTGAATCGCTCGGGGCGACTCTCCTTGCCTCCTGCCGCAAGGCGCCCAACTTCTGCGCCCTGCAGTCCGCGATGAGGTCGGGCCATCAGCTCCCAGAGCACCAGAGGAGGAGAAGGAGGAGGATGAGGAGGAAGAGGAAGAGGAGGAGGAGGAGGAGGAGGACGAGGAGGAGGAGTCAGGCAGGGAGGGAGGCAGGGAGGGAGGCAGGGAGGGAGGAGGATGAGTAGCAGGATGAGGAGGAGGAGGAGGAGGAGGAGGAGGAGGAGGAGGAGGGGGGAGGAGGGAGGGAGGGAGGGATGGATGGATGGATGGATGGAGGGAGGGAGGGAGTGAGGGAGGGAGGGAGGCAGGAGGAGGAGGAGGAGGAGGAGGAGGAGGAGGAGAAGGAGGAGGAGGGAGGAGGAGGTGTAGGGAGGAGGGAGGAGGGAGGCGGGAGGCGGGAGGAGGATGGTGCGCTGCCTTCGCGCGGAGGTCGACTTCGCGGCGCGCGAGGAGGTGCGCCTGACGCCAGCGTCGCCCGCGCTCGACGCTGCGGCGCAGAGGGCCATCTCCTTCGCCGCGGGCGGACGGGAGGGTGATGATGACGATGGTGGGGCGACGTTCTAGGTTTTCGGAGGAGAAAATGGCACCCATACCTCTACCCTCTCGCCCGTTTTCCAGTTTTTGGGCCTCCTGGGAAGCCCTCGTCGCCAGCGCTGGATTCGCCTCGAAACCCTGGTCAGAACGCACCCCCGGAGAGGTCTGGGAGACAGCGGTATCGGCTATGGGTACCTTTGGTTTCCCCAGCTCGTTTTGTTATTTGTTCTGTGGGCGTGCTGTGGATGCGCCCGCTTGGAATTTCTGGACAGAACGCAGCCCAGAAGAGGTCCTGGGGCCGACTCTTGAGGGGGAGGAGGCGGAGGAGGAGGATGTGGTGATGGTGGTGTTGTGATGGCCTGATGGTGGTGTCCGAAGTGGGGGTTGAACCATAACCACCGACTGCGGGATCGATCATCTGGAATCTCGGCTGGCTGTCAGTGTAGGTATGTTCGATCCACTGCCAACCGGGGCTCTCGGAAATCGATCCTTCAGGCGATGGTCATGGATACACCCCCGCCGCGCATTGTGGGGATGATGGTATAGGTGTTTATGATGACGATGGTGGTAGTGATGTTTATATGGATGACGACAACACTGATAACGATGGCGACGATGATGATTAATACGATGATGCATGCGATGCTGATGTTGATGATGATGATGTTTATGGCGATTATGCTGACACGATGATGCTGATGATGATGGCGATGATGGTGATGTTGGTGATGATGATGATGATGCTGGTGATGATGATGCTGATGATGGTGATGATGCGGATGCGGATGCTGATAATGATGATGACGACGATGCTGATGATGATGCTGATGATGATGATGATGATGATGCTGATGCTTCTGCTACTGATTGCTGCTGATGATGATGATGACGTTGAGGTAGAAGCTACTGCTGCTGCTGATCATGATGGTCATGATGCTATTAGCGATGATGTTGTTGATGCTAATGATGATGATGATGATGATGATGGTGATGGTGATGATGATGATGATGATGATGATGCTGCTGCTGCTGCTGATGATGATACTGATGATGCTGCTGCTGCTGAGGATGATGATGCTGATGATGCTGATGATGATAATTCTGATGACGATGCTGAGGCTGTTAATGCTGCTGATGCTGATGCAGATGCTGGTGCTGATGGTTATGATGATGGTGATTGTGATGATGCTGCTGCTGCTGATGCTGATGATGCTGATGATGGTGAATCTTTTTTATATAACTCATGATGTTGCGGCTGATGGCGATGATGTTGATGAGGATGATGATGACGATGCTGATGATGATGATGATGATTGTGATGATGCTGAGATTGATGATGATGACGATGGTGCTGATGATGCTGATGATGCTGATGCTGATGATACTGATGATGCATATGACGATCATGTTGCCGATGATGCTGCTGCTGATGATGATGAGGCTGATGATGATGATGATGATCATGATGATGATTAGGTTGATGATGCTGACGACGATGAAGCTGATGATGATGCTGATGATGCTGATGATGATCATGTCGCTGCTGATGCTGATGATAATGATGATGCATATGACGATGATGTTGCCGATGATGCTGCTGCTGATGATGATGAGTCTGATGATGATGATGATGATGATGATGATGATGACGATGATGATGATGATGATGATGATGATGATGATGATGATGATGATGATGATGATGATTTGGTTGATGATGCTGACGACGATGAAGCTGATGATGATGTTGATGATGCTGATGATGATCATGTCGCTGCTGATGCTGATGCTGATGGTGATGCTGCTGCTGATGGTTATGCTGATGATGATGCTGATGCCAATGCTGATGCTGATGCTGATGATGGTGATGCTGCTGATGATGATGATTATTCATGATGATGGTCATGATGATGTTGATTTTGATGATGCTGACAAAGATTATGCTGATGATGCTGATGCTGATCATGTTGCTGCTAATGCTGATAATGATGATGATGCTGCTGCTGATGATGATGATGCTGATGATGATGATGATGATAACGAAGATGCTACTGCCGATGATGCTGATGATGATACTGCTGATGACGATGCTGATAATGCTGATGATGCTGATGATAATGATGCTGATGCTGATGATGATGCTGATGCTGATGATGGTGAGGATGCTGATGCTGATGCTGATGATGATGACGATCATGCTGATGCTGATGATGATGATGATGTTGCTGCTGATGATGATGGCGGTAGTATAGGTGGTGGTGATGATGGCGATGATGGCGGCGTCGCCGACGACGATTATGATGTATAGATTCCTTTGTTTACATGTGGGTTGTCTGCCTCGAGATGTCAGGGAGGGCCGTCTCCTTAAATGTCTGTGCTCAAGCTTGAACAGGCCCACACCCACGCTCGCAGCGCTCTCCCCCTGTCCTGGCAACTTTCCCTCAGATCACTGTATCCTACCTCTCTCGCTGCCCATCGGGGCCCGTGCCTGGCGTGCCCGCGCTGCCCGGCGACTCGCCCTCGCTCGGCGAGTGCGGCGGGCCCCGGCTGTCCTGGTGCCCCAGCTCCTGTGCTGGCGGGCGCCCGGCGAACGAGGCAACGCGGGCTGCGGAGAGCGCCCTGGCCCGGCCGTCCTGTGGATGATGGCCCTGGCCGCCGTGTGCAGTTTCGTGCTCATCAGCCTGAGCAGCGTTGCCGCCCGCCGCCTCGTCCCGGCCGTGAATCCGATCGGACCTCTGAGGCTCGGCATATGTACCCCAGGTGGCGACGTGTACGATGAGGACTTTTCGGGCCCGACCGTCGACATCGCCGCGGCCCGCCTCTGTCCTGACCGCGGTCGGCTTCCTGGCATCACGGCGGCGGTCAGTTACCGCTGCAGGCGGGCCCCGACAGCTGTGGAAGAGGTCGCCTTCGACACGGCGGACGAGGCCTACGCGGCGGCGGCGCTCGCGTCCGAGGCGGCCGCTGGCAGGCAGGCCTTCGCAGCCCCTGCTGCCGGGTGCCAGGTGCCCCTCGCCGCGGGAGGCGGCCCCACGGGCCTGCCCGTGGCCGCTGGTGCCGCGCCCGGCGCCCAGATCGTGCCTGCGATCGGATCGGCGCCGCTGGCGCCCGCGGCGGGGTTCACCGGCGCGGCCACCGCCCAGTGGGTCAAGACCGAGAGCATGGTTTTCGCCTGCTGTGGTGATTCAATCTCGCTCCCGGCGAACACCATCGTGCACGGCGAGTCCGCCATCATGCAGGCGCCCGACAGATTCAGCATCGTGCTCAAGGACGTCCAGTCCCTGGACACAGCGGTGTACGCCGCCCTGGAGGCGTTGCGGGACCCGCACTACGTGGACGGCTCGGCTTACATTGTGGCCCGGCCTCGCCGTCGCTGGAACGACGTGTGCAAGGAACTCGTGAAGGCCGCCTACGTCTTGTGGACGGTTCCCGGGCCTCGCGTGGTGAAGTGGTGTGCGGAGTGGTTCGACCTGTATTCGTCTGCGCCCGTGGTGCACCACCCGCAATTCATGAGCGTGTTCGAGCTGAAGCCGGACTCGTGGGGGGTGGAGCTCCACGGCCCTGCTTTGCACGTGCTGGGGGAGGCGGCCGAGTACGACGGTGTGAACATCCGCGATTCGGTGGGCATCGAGTCGTTCTTGCGTCGGGCTCAGCTCTCGGAATATGTCTACTGGATGGACTCCATGGGGGCCGCCGAGAATGTCGGGAGGGACAAGACTCCCCGCGTCTCGACGATCACGTTCGTCGGCCTCATGGTTGGGGTGGCCATCCTATCCGGCTTTAACAAGAACACAGGCTCGGCCATGGCGTGTCCAGCGTCCCTGGATCATGCGACTCGTGAGGCATACACGGATGCCGCGATTTTGAAACCAGTTCGGAAAGCCAAGGAGGAGCGCGCGGCGCTCCTCACGATGCAATGATGATGCAGCACGGCCCAGGTGAAGCCTCTAGCCTGGTGCCAGATCCAGAGGCCGCCCCCCGCGGCGAGACGCGGCCTCTTTCTGAGGGCGTGATGCCGAGTGATCCATGTGCTGATCGGCAGCGCGACCTTCTTCCCCTTCCTCTCTCGTGCTTGCGTGAGTCGTGTCTCGATTCGTCAGTTTTTTCTCGGCCGACTCGACGTCGCCACCTCCGTCAGGCCCACTCTGCCCGCTTCGCGGAGTCGGTTGCCTCGAGTCTGAATCAACTTTTCACAGGAGGGCCCCCGAGGGGTGGGTCTTGTTCTCCCAGTGCGGCTCAGCTGAAGGCCTGTCGTCTCATTCGCCGTGCGGTGGATCGCTTAGGACCCCCTCCCCAAGGGCTCTCCGGCGCGGGAGCACTCAGTGAGCTCTGCGCCCGGCGTTCATACGGTGGTGAGCCGGCCACTCTGGCGCCGATCGGCCCAGACAATGTCTGCCTCTTGGACCTCCCTTACCCTGGTAGTCTCCCGAAGCCTCTAGGTGTTTTGCTTGGTCCCGAGGGTGAAACCTTGGTCGAAAAGCTGGATAACAAGATTTTTCCTGAGCGCCTTGCGCGCGAAAAGATGGTCTCTCTAGGCCCTACACAGACCCTGCTCTCAGGCGCTCTCCCCGTCTGTATGCCTCGGTCCTAAAGCGGCTCCGAGAGGCCGGCCTGGTGGCGTGGGGGGTAGAATGCAAAGCTTCGGTTGGGATCTTCGCCGTGTATGAGAAGTCAGGGAAGCTTCGAGTTATTATTGACGGTCGTATCTCGAGTTGCTGGTTCGACGACTCCGATGCCGTGCACTTGGCGAGTGGGTCCTCGTTCACGTCCATCCAGGTTGACTCTCAAGATCCTATCTGTGTCGGCGGCGTCGACGTGGCCAACGCCTTTTACAACGTTGCCCTGCCCAAGGGTCTCCAGGAGTTCTTCGGTCTTCCAAGGATCCGTGCTGGACAGGTTGGAGTCTCGGAGGTGAATGGGGCCCCGGTGGCCCCGAATACCTACATCGCCCCCCGTTTCACCGCGATCCCTATGGGTTGGAAGCTCTCTTTGTGGCTGACGCAACGTGCCCTGGAGATCCTCTCGAGGCGGGCCCCCGGCGTCGAGGAGGCGAATGCCCTGTTCGACGGGCGCCCGGCTCCGCCCTTGACGCCACTGATCCACACAGAGTACGTTGATAATTTTGTCGCTTTCAGTCAGTGCCAGCGGGCCGCCGGAGATGCTGCCCGCGCAGTCCCCTCGGAGCTCGCGCGAGCTAGTTTGCCCGTGCACCCGGTGGAGGACACGAGGGGAGGGGCGACCTTGGGGTGGACTTTCTCGGGCGACTCGGCCGAGGTCGGGGTCAACCCGACTACTTGCTGGAAGCTTCGTCTCGGGTTTCAAGAGTTTGCCCGTTGAAAATATGCTTCAGGAAAGACGGTCGAGATCCTCGTGTCCCACTTTACCACCGGGGCCCTGATTTGGCGCGGGCTCTTGTGCGTGTTCAACGCCGCCTACTCGTTTATAGAGCATGCTGGTGACTCCACGGTGCCACTCTGGCCCTCGGTGAAAAGAGAATTCACGTGGGCCAGCCACCTCGTCGCCCTTGCCTCGCGTGACCTGTCTGCTCCATGGGCTTCGGAGGTATCAATTGTGGACGCTTCAAGTTGGGGCATGGGCGCGTGTATCCAGGACCTGGGCCACCGCGTCGTCGCGGACCTAGGCGAGCTCAACGAACGCTGGAGGTTCACACGGGATGAAGAAAAGGGGTGGTGTCCCCGGGATTCCGCGTTGTTGGCCGCCCGCCTTGGGGGCTACCACGCCCCCCCTGCCTCGTCGCCGCGGCCGGACTCGTCTTTGCCTGGTGGCGGGTCCTCGCGGGATCCGCGCGCGTTCTTGAACGACCGTTCCGGGGAGGCCCACCTTGAGCCCTCTGTGGGTCATTCTGCGGGGCGCCCTCCTGACTCGTCGCCCGCGTCGGATTCGCCTCCTGATGTCTTCCCTTCGGTCCCGCCCTCGGTCTGGGATGGGGAGTGGCGCCTCGTGGCCTCCCGGGCGTGGGCCCGCTCCGAGCCTCAGGTTTGTCTTGAAGGTCGGGCCATGGTCCGGTCTACCAAGCGATGCACCCGGTCGTTAGCCTCATTTGGTCGGCGGCACCTTCATCTTGGGGATTGTATGGCACCTATCTTGGCTGTGACAAAGGGGCGGTCCTCGGCCAGGGGGATGATGCGGATCTGCCGACAGCACGCCGCGCTGGCCCTCGCGTCCTTCTCCTACCACATATGGCGGTGGGTCCCGTCTGAGCACGACGCCAGCGACCCCCCATCTCGCAGCGTGCGCCTGGCTCGAGCGCCGGCCAGTACTCGTCTGCCTGGGCCTCCGCCCGGGCTCGAGGCCCTGGTCCCAGCTCCGCCGCGGCGCGCGGGTGCTCCTGTGGCCTGGGGCGCGGCCGCCTGCGCCGCCCGCGAGCGTCGCGTCCGCTCCGCCGGCCACGCCCTCAGAGACGCTTTCGACGGCTTCGGCCCCTTTGGCGACGTGGACTCGGACAGCCAGGACGGGCGTGCCCGCGGTGCGTCGCCGGCCGGCGGCTGTCTCTGCCCAGTCGAAGGGGGCCGCGCAGATGGCAAGCTCCGCGCACGCCCGAGCACCTCGCGGCGTGCTCAGCCGACCAGCGCTGGAGAGCGCTCGGCGCGAGGATCGCCGTCGCGCTCGGGTTCGCCAGCACCCGCGGGAGGCAGTGGCGGGGTGCCCGGGGCACTCGCTGTTAGAGCGGAGCGTGGTGCGGCCGGCCCAGCAGGAGCGGTGCCGCGAGATGGTTCAGACTTTCAGCACCTGGACGGTTGCCCCGGGCCTCCCCACGTCGACGCTGGCCGAGCTCGACCACGCGGCGGTGGCGTACTTCCACGACCTCTTCTTCAACGGCGAGGTGGTGGACCACGCGTCGGCGCTGCTGGCCGCGCTTGCGTTCTGCGATCCTCGTGTGACTCGGCGGACCCCAGAACTCCCTCGGGCCCGTCGGGCCCTGAAGGGCTTCGGGAAGCTTGCGCCGTCTCGGGCGCGGCTTCCCCTGCCGTCGACGGTGGTGGCTCTGATCATCGCCAAGCTGCTGGCCCTGGGCCTGGCCGAGGCATCCTGGCTGACGCTCCTGAACTTCGTGTTCTATTGCCGCCCCTCGGAGCTGCTGAGGCTCCGCTGCCGGGACCTCGTCGCGCCGCCCCGCGGCGGCCCGGTCGCCATGCGGAAGTGGAGCCTCTTGCTCAACCCGATCGAGGGCGGCGTGCCGAGCAAGACTGCCGTGTTCGACGAGAGCCTGCTGCACGACAGCGTGGAGTTCGCCTGGGTCAACCTGGTCCTCGAGGTGATCAAGGACCGCCGAGACCCCGACGACCTGATCGTCGGCTTGACCTACGCGCAGTGGTGCAGCCAGTTCCAGCAGGCCGTGAACGCGCTGCCGCTGTCCGCGCTGGCGCCGATCTCCCTGTACCAGCTCAGGCACGGCGGGGCCAGCCGCGAGATTCTCGGCGGGGGGCGCGACGCGACCGGGGTGAAGAAGCGCGGCCGATGGCAGTCAGACGCGTCCCTCCACCGGTACGTCAAGGCCGGCCGCTTGAACGAACAGCTACAGCGCCTCGACGTCCCCGTGCAGGAAGTCGCCGCCGAGTGTGCCGAGCGACTGTCGTCCATGATCCTCGCGCCATCCCGAGCCTTCTCGCTGCTCCGCAGGAAGGGTTTGTACTAGAGCTTTTTGCTGGCCAGGGCCGCTGGCCATCTGCCTGGCGCTCGACTCCTGGCCTCCGACATATTCTTGTGTTTGCCATCGATATTTGGCACGGGCCGGCCCATGACCTTACGAATTGGGCTTTCGCCCGCCTCGTCCGCGGCTGGATTCGCTCGAACCTGGTGAGGGCCCTGTGGCTCAGTAGCCCGTGCACCACCTCTTCGATGGCAAATCGGGAGGGCTGGAGGTCCAGGCAATACCCTGGTGGCGTTCCTGGTCTCTCGGGCCACGTCCTGTCCAGGTCCAGGAGGCCAGCGAGTTGAGCTCAATCTCCGCTGGCTTCTTTCGTCTGGCTCGTACGATGATGGTTCCAGTTGCTATCGAGAACCTTCACGCGAGCCGCCTGTGGTCAATGCCCGCTTGGTCTCAGATCCTGAGATATTCAGATGTAGATGTTGCCATTCTAGACTATTGCGCCTGCGGCATGCCCTGGAGAAAGAGGACCAGGTTCGTGTCGGCCAATGTTGTCCTCTCTCACCTCCCGTTCAAGTGCCACGGTGCCAAAGTCTGTGACTTCACCAGCAGACCCCATATCTGTCTCCAGGGTCATGATGCTAATCACGTGCATCGTACGAAAATCGCCGAGCCGTTCCCCCGGAAGTTGTGTGTTGGGATCCTCGAGGCGTTTGCGAGTACTATCCTCTCGAATCTTCAGTGTTCTCTAGTGGTCTAGTTTGCTGCGTTTTGGTTTGTGGGCTTAATACGGCATACCAGTCTTCACGTTTGGCTGGGAAAGGCGTCTTTGGAGAGCTGGACAACTGGCTGCCCTGATTATAAAGGTGCGTGTGCGTGTGCTCGAGCGTTGAGACCCTTGGCGAGATCAGCACGCATATCGAACCCTGCTGGCGAGAAAACCATCTGGCCCGTCAAATACATCGGCGAGCATACATATTCGTTTGTTTACATGTGGGTTGTCTGCCTCGAGATGTCAGGGAGGGCCGTCTCCTTAAATGTCTGTGCTCGAGCTTCCCACGGTCTCCGTCCGCTATGCGTTCTGCCACCCCAAACCACCCTCTTTCTGCCGCCTTTTAAGGGCAAGAAGTCCCACGTCCCGTGTGCTGCATAGTATCTCTTCAGGAGAGCTGGGCAACCGGCTGCCCTGATTATACAGGAGACCCTTGGCGAGATCAGCACGCAGATCGAACCCTGCTGACGAGAAAACCATCTGGCCCGTCAAGTACATCGGCGAGCACATATATATATATATATATATATTGCAGTACAGTCACATGATGGTGATGGTGATGCCGGTTATGATGGCGATGGGTCTGGGTGAGAAAGCCATGCGCGTAAATTTCTGAAGGTCCGCGCGGATTTTTTGGAACGGCGCTCGACCCCCCTCCCTGGCGCGCGAAGTTCGTCAGGTGCGGCGCGAAGTTCGCCAGGGGCAGTGCTGACTCACGAAATTCTGCCAGGGCCTCCGAACGTGTGTGTAGCTCTATGTGTGTGGGTTCCAATGGTGATGCCGACGATGGTGGCGATGATGCGGGTGAAGGTGTGGGTGTGGCTGTGGGTGTGGGCGTGGATGTGGGTGCGGGTGTGCTTGTGGGTGTGGGCGTGGGCGTGGGTGTCGGTGCGGGCGTGTGCGCGTGCACGTGCGTGCGCGCGCGTGTGTGTGTGTGTGTGTGTGTGTGTGTGTGTGTGTGTGTGTGTGTGTGTGTGTGTGTGTGTGTGTGTGTGTGCGTGTGTATGCGTGTGTGTGTGTGTGTGTGTGTGTGTGTGTGTGTGTGTGGTAGGTGTCTGTGCATGAGTGCGTTGTTGCGTGCGTGAGTCGTCGTGTCGTGTGTGGATGTATGCGTTTACTCCTTGACGTTGCGCGCGGGGCCGCGTTGCCACACACGTTTGCGTATGTGTGTGTGTGTGGGTGTGTGCATTTGTGTTGGTTGTTATGCGTGCATGAGTGCGTTGTTGCGTGCGTGCGTCGTGGTGCTGCGAGTCTGTGTCTGTGCATGGGGGTTTGGGTGCGGCTGTGCGCGTGCGCGTGGGTGTGGGTGTTGGTGTAGGCGTGAGCGTGGGCCTTGGGCGTGGGCGTGGGCATGGGCGTGTGTGTGTGTTTGTGTGTGTATGTGTGTGTGTGTGTGGGCGTGGGCGTGGGCGTGGGCGTGGGCGTGGACGTGGGCGTGGGCGTGGGCGTGGGCGTGGGCGTGGTCGTGGGTGTGGGCGTGGGCGTTGGCGTGTGCGTGGGTGCGGGCGTGGGCGTGGGCGCTGGCGTGGGCGTGGGCGTGGGCGTGGTCGTGGGCGTCGGCGTGGGCGTGGGTGTGGGCGTGGGCGTGGGCCACCCACGGTGAGGGTGAAGGTGGTTATTGTGATGCTCATGCCCGCGACGGTGATCTTGGCGGCACTGGTAATTGTAGTGCTGATGCCGATGATGATGACGATGATGGTGGTGGTGGCTCGGAGGAGGATGAGGAGGAGTTGGAGGAGGACCATTGGGAACCCAAGAGGCATCAACAACGTTGTAGTAAACCCTTCCTCCAAGCTTCTTCTTCATAGGCCCCTTCAACTGTTCATTTTTACTGAGGGAGCTGTCTTGTTGGAAGGCGACTGTTTGACGACCCTGACGCATGCGAACCATTGTTCTCGTGATTCCAACGCCACGGATCAACCTGACTGTTGCGTCTTGACGATCCTGAATCGTGCCAGAACGCCATTCCTGGGACTTGGACGCCGCGAGTCAACATAACTTGGGCACCCTCATAAACCTGAATCCTTCCCAAGCACCGTTTCCGGTACTTTGACCATGGCAATATGTGAAGCTCTTGCAAATTTTGAAAATGAGTGAGAGCGGCGCTAAGGCGAGAGCCATATTTTGAACAGGAGCCGCCCTCAATCCGTCACACCGTTTGCAGTTTTTATGACAAACGCGCGCGGCGCGAAAGCGAGATCGACCTGTTGGAAACCATTCGCCATCTATCCGTGAAGTTCTCGCAAATATTTAATGCGAGTATGCGCCGCGCTAAGGCGAGAGCCAACTTTTGAAAATCACTCACCCTCAATTCGTAAAGCTTTAGCAAGTTTTTAAGACGAATGTGCGACAAGCTAAGGCGAGAGCCACACACCACTCGCCCTCAATCCGTGAAGCTCTTGTTAAGACGAATGTGCGCGGCGCTAAGGCCAGCGCCACAGTGGCTCAAGGATGTGGCTCAAGCCCGTCTTCATTCAATACATCCTATTTTATCACTTCTCGCAGTTCGCCATGTCCTCTCCGCAGCCCGGAACGGCGTCGGATGCTACCGCGATCGTGCCAGCTCGCGCACCGGCTACCCCCGTGGGCAAGCTGTTCAACAACCCGTTCATGAAAAAGGCGCGCACTAAGTACTCGGACTCCCCTCTCTCACCTCTACTCCCGAAGGATGGCTACCAGAAGATGGAGGATGGCCAGGATGAGGAGGAGCTGATCCCAGGACCAGTCGAACAGTTGAACTTCGACGGAGTGGTGGAGGACAGCAGCGGGGAAAGGGGGCAGGTTACGATGGCGGGTATCGCAGGTCTCCGCCGGAAGGAGATGGCGCGCATGACTAAGGCGATTCAGGACCTCCGGAAAGGCTTCGGGGATCTCGACCTGCGCATGTCGTCCCTCGCGGACTCGGCGGACGTCCGCCTGAGCAACGTGGAGAAGCGTATCGACATCACCGAAGTCCAGATCGAAAAGCTCGAGAACCTCGTCAAGCAGCTCTCCGAGAAGGGCAGCTCGTTTCACACGACCCCCAAGAAGGATTCAGGCGGCCATGGCACGGGAGGAGGGGGAGTGACAGACAAGCGGAATATTTCAGCAGTGGTAGGCAATCTCGATTCGCTCGACTCGCTGGAGGCGGCCAGTGCCTGGCTTCACGACAAACTTTCTTCGCTCCAGGGCCCGCCCCAGCCGAGATCTATTCGAAGGGGGACTTCGGCGGGGCATTGTTCGCGGAGTTCCAGAACTCTGGTCAGCGAGATGCGGCAGTAGATTTCCTGAGGAAGGCAGGGTTGAAGTCCGGAGGCAGGAACATCTGGGCAAACCAGGGCCGCCCAATTATGGAGAGGGCAGCTCGGAACTTCTGCTTTGGCCTGAAGCACGTCTTCAAGAAGGCGTGGGACATCCCATGCGCAGTCTCCGTGAGTGACGAGGCCCCTTACTCGGTTTGGGTTGGGGGGGAGTTGGCAGTGACCGCGCGCATTTTCCCAGACAAGGTCGTTCGCGAATGGCACGGGGACTGGGCCTCTTGGGAGGAGCTCCACAGCAGCCCGGAGGTGAGGGACCTTACGAACAAGTGCGACTCCCTCGCCGTGAAAGCCACCACGGGCATGAAGGGCTCCAAGGGTCGCGGCAAAGGCTGTGGCTCAGAATAGGGTCTACAAGAGCCGTCCGGCACGGTTTCGCCGAGAGTGTCACAATCGAATTCTTCATCAACTTGTACATGCGCACGTGCTGGGAGCAATGGCGCTGGAGACCCTGGCTTTCGAGGTGGGAATCTGCGCCCTTGCGGGAGGGACGTTCTGCTGGGTTCCTGGAACGTGGAGGGGCTCACCAAGGCAAAGGTGGAGGAACTCAGCTATCTGGTGCATCTGGCCGGCAACGGGCAGTGGTGTTGGGCGATTTCAATGCGAGGCTGCACAGGCGCTTCGCCGGCGAGTCCGCGCACCTGGGGGAATTCATATTCGGCAACCCTGCCGCGCAGCATAATCCGTCTTCCAATCGGACGTGTTGCTCGAGCTGTGCAGCACCCATGACTTCGTGATCGCGAGCACATTCTTCAACCACCCCGCAGAGCAGCAGGTCACGTGCTACAGTGTCGGATCACGGCCGTCCAGCCCAGCAGTCCCAGAACATTATGGCCAAATCGACTTCTTGTTATGCTCGGGTGCACGCCTGGAGTGCGTGACAGACGTCCGAAGCAACAAAGATATAGCTCTCGCTTCTCACCATTTCTTGCTGTTGTGCTACGCCCAGCTCGACATCGTCGACGCCCGCCAACCGTGCCGGCAGAAAGTCGACGTGCAGGCGCTCGCTCAAGCACCGCTCCAGCGAAGCTTCAACAACGCCTTCGCGGACTACATGGCAGCAGAGCGTCGGGGGGCCCGGCAGACGCTCGACGAGCTGAACAATAGCATGGTTGATGCCTTCTCTGCCTCTGCTGCTGCGTGTCTGCCCCAGACCCGGCAGGCGCGCAGACGCCCGTGGATCAGCGACGCCACGGTGGAACTGATCGCAGCTAGGAACAGGGCCCGGGCGGGGGGCCATCTGGCACGCGAGAAGATTTTCAATGGCAGGATAAAAGCTTCTGTGAAGAGCGACAAGAGCATCTGGCTGGACAAGCGACTGCAGACCGGAGATTGGGACAAAGTCCGAAGGTTGCGCAAAGGTTCGACGGCCGCGCAGTGCCGAATGAAGGACTCACAAGGGCGTCTTGTAGACAGCGACCTGAGAGCGCAAACTCTGGCATAATATTTCGAGAACGTGCAGTGGGCAGTGAGGCCGACTACGGTTGTCGACAATCCCGAACCATTGGGGGGCGCACTCCCGACAGAATTGGGGCCGATTACCGGGCTGGAAGTATGCGAAGCGGCGCGAGCTCTGAAGCGGAACCGGGCCGCGGGAAAGGACGGCATGCCAGCTGAGTTCTGGAAGGCTGTGTGCGTGGCTGAGACGCCAGCTTGCCAGTGGGCGGTCTTACTTTGCAGCCGGTGTTGGCTGGAAGCAGGCGTTCCCGAAGCCTGGCACGAGGCTGTCGTTTCTGCAATATTCAAGAAAGGCGATTCTTCTGACTGTGCAAATTATCGACCCATATCCCTTCTGCCGATTGGGCACAAGTTGTACGCAATGATATTGTTGTCGCGACTGAAAAAGGCAGGGGCCGAAGAACGCATATGGACCATTCAATTCGGCTTCCGATCTGGCCGGGGAACAGCGGACGCTCTGTTCATCGCCAGGTGTTTGATCGAGGACACGTGGGGCTCCGAAGCAGGCAAGCTGATTCTCCTCGCGCTTGACTGGGCGAAGGCGTTCGACAGCGTGTCTCCCGATGGCTTGGTGCAGGCGCTCGTCCGCTTCGGTGCGCCCGAGAAGTTCGCACCGGCGGTCAAGGCCATATATACTAACCGGAGCTTCTGCGTGCGCGACGCGGGGTCCATGTCCGACTCAAGGCCGCAAGCGTTCGGGATATCACAGGGAAGCCTGCGGTCGCCTGTTCTCTTCTCGATCGTGATGACCCTGCTGATGTTCGACGCGACGCGCAGCATGCTCGGCAGAGGCATTCATCAAGATGGCCAGCTGCACCTGAGCGAATTGATCTACGCCGATGACACATTGATTGTTGGTGTGACAGAGGAGTACGTCCGCGATCTCATGGAGAGCATCAGAGAGGCCGGCACCAATTATGGCTTATGTTTTAATTGGGGCAAGCTAGAGGTAATGTCAATTCGTTGCCAGACACAGCTCCTGCGCCCTGACGGTGAACCGATCACCCAGAAGGATAACATGGTGTATCTTGGGGGGCTGCTCCACGCAGACGGTGGGAGCGGAGCTGAACTCAGTCGGCGCATCGGCAAGGCCCAGAAAGATTTCGACACGCTGTGCAGACTGTGGAGACACGCGAAGATATGTCTGCCCAAGAAGGTCATGATGTTTGAAGCCTGCGTCGTGCCCAAGCTGATGTACTGCCTGCACACCCTCTGGTTGAACCAGGCAGAGAGATCGCGACTGGACGCCTTCCAAGCTCGGTGCCTGCGAAGAATCGCTGGAGTCCCTCACTCCTATCTCAGCCGGGTGTCCAACGCAGCCGTGCTGGAGAGGTGCGGCAGGAATCGTCTGACATCCAGTTTAGCTTGCAAGCAGCTCGAGCTGATTGGAAAAATCGCTTGTCTACCAGAAGACAATGTCACGCGACGAACGGTATTCCAACCAGGGTCGTTCATCCTAGCCCGCCCTTTCGGGCCCCGGAGGCGGGGCAGACCGAGGAACACATGGAAGCGCAATGTGTTTGACTTCGCCTGCGCAGCGGCCGGTGGCCGAGACGCCTTGGCGGAGCTGTGGCGGCACAGACCTGGAGACTGGCGCGGAGTCGCAAGGCGCTTCTCTTCGCAGCTGTAGCATTCAGCAGATATGGATGGTTTGTCTGCATGTAGAGTGGACTGTCTCTGCTTACGGGGTGGTGGGAGAGCCACTCACACGGACTGAAACAGCGTGAGCAGTGAGCCTGCCAGTGCTGTTTCCTCCTCGCTCGCCCTCCTCCTCGCCTTCGTCCTCCTCCCCCTCGTCGTCCTCCCCCCCTTCGCCGCCGCCGTCGTCGCTGTCGGTGTCTGCGCGGCGTCTTCTTGATTCGCAGCCGCGCCTCCGGCAGCGGAACTTGCTGTTTCACTTATTTGCCAACGCACCCCTGACGTGCACGGCGTTTCGTTCGTTCGTTCGCCTTCAATCCGTGAAACCCTTGCAAGTTTTAAATCGAATGTGCGCGACACTAAGGCGAGAACCACATTTTTTAAATCACTCGCCCTTATTCAATGAAACACTTGAGTTGTTTAAAGCGGGTGTGCGCGGCGCTGAGGCGAGAACCACATTTTGAAAGCCACTCGCCCTCAATCCGTGAAGCTCTTGCACACTGTTTGAAACGAACGTGCGCGGCGCTAAGGCGAGCGCCACATTTTGAAAACGACCCGCCCTCCATCTGCGAAGCTGTTGCCAATTATTAAGCTTCAGAGTCATGGGTCTCAGGCGAAAGCCCGACCCGCCCTACAAACTGGCTACGGGGTGCGACAGGGAGAAGCTATTTATGAGGAGAAGGAATTGAGGATGATGAGGAGAAGGAGGAGGAGAAGTAGGAGGAGGAGGAGTATAATGAGGACGGGGAAAAGAAGGAGGAGGAGGAGGAGGAGGAGGAGGAGGAGGAGGTGGAACCAGGTTCGAGTTTTGAGGTTTTCTATTGTTCTTGAGGCTTTGTGGGCGTCTTGGAGGCTTCTCGTTACCACGGCTGCTCCACCTCGAACTTCTGGGGGGGATTGGAAGCCAGGACGGGTCCTGGGGTCGCTTCGCAATCTTAACGTCGGGTCGTACAGTGTGAAGAAATCCTAATTGAGATCCCCAGTTTGAAAAGGAGCCGCATTTCATCTTTGTAGTCTTAGCGCAAGTTTGAAAATCGTGCCGCATTTCGCGAGGTTCATGGAGACCTCATTTTGCCAATGTGCCGCCCTCCATCCTTGTAGCAGTTGCGTTGTTTCGCACATGTTGTTGATGTCTGCAGCGACAAGCTCGTTCTGAACAGGAGCCCGTTCCCATCGTTGTGACCCATGGAATGTTTTAGACGAACGTGCGAGACGGAAAGGCAGGAGCCCCCTTTTGAAAAGCAGCCCGCTGGAGACGCTTTCCATAGAACTGGGCGTGGCGCCACACTTCGACCGGAGGTGAAGGGGTGAGATCTCGGCTAAACGGAGAGCCCCCCGCCGTGAAATCGAAATCGATTTCGGCTTCGTGATCGTGTCGTGCGTGCGGTTGGGGCGAAGCTGCGTTGGCGGGCGAAAGGGGTGAACTCTGCTCTGAGGCTAAGGCGCCGCCGGGCCAAAAGACCGGCCCCTCCCCAGTTGGCTGGCGGTGGCCGGGGTTCTTTCGCCGTGGTGTCCCGATGGTGTCCCGTGGTGTCCCGTGGTGTTCCGTGGGTGTCTCGTCGGTGTCCCCTCGGTGTCCCGTCGGTGTCCCGTCGGTGTCCCGTCAGTGTCCCGTAGTGAGATCGATCGCCAGATCGATAGTGAGGCCAATAGTGAGATCTATAGTCAGATCGATAGTGAAATCGACAGTGAGATCGAGAGTGAGATCGATAGTGAGATCGATAATGACATCGATAGTACGTTCGATAGTGAGATCGATAGTGAGATCGATGGTGAGATCGATAGTGATATCGTTAGTGATATCCATAGTGATATCGATAGTGAGGGCGAAAGTGAGAGGGATAGTGAGGTCGATAGTGAGATGGATAGTGAGATCGATCGTGAGATCGATAGCGGGATCGATCGTGTGATGTCGATCGTGAGACTGATAGTGAGATCGATCGTGAGATCGATAGTGCGATCGATCGTGAGATTTGTAGTGAGATCGGCAGTCAGATCTATAGTGAGATCGATTGTGAGATCGAAAGTGAGATCGATAGTCAGATCGATAGTCAGATCGATAGTATGATCGATAGTGAGATCGATAGTGAGATCGATAGTGGGACCGATAATGAGATCGATCGTACCGTCGATTGAATGAGACGTCGTTTCCTTCCCCCCGAACCTCCTTATCACTCGACGGGTGGTCGTGTAGGTAACTTCGTCTCCATCAGAGTAACTGTTGAGATTTTAGCTTATGGGTCATAGATGGCACGGCGGTCTCAATCGAAGCGCCTGGACCGCTCTATCAACACGCTGTCAATAAGGAGTGCGATGGAGGCGTTGTCAATAAGGAGTGCGATGGAGGAGGAGGAGGAAGAGGAGGAGGAGGAGAAGAAGGAAGAAGATGGCTAGGACGAGTAGGAGTAAGATGACTAGGACGATGAGAAGGGCGAGGAGGAGACGACATTAACTATATTTTGGTTAAGAATATCTTCTTCCCTGAACCACCTGCGCTAACAGGACAGGTGTGATTGATGCATCAGTTTTAATATTCACGTGGCCGACGCCATTCCGCCGATCCTCGGAAGAGGACAGGGATTATGGGTGTTCGCTAGGTGCGTGCTTGAGTTGGAGTTCTGG